GTTTGATCGCCTCGGCAAACAGACTCTCGTCACGATAAGGAATCCCATCGGGATCAGGCAGCGTGTGCGCCTGAGCGTCTGGCATCACCCATCCTGGCACTGCCTGGCTCTGGTGCCACCAGCAGGGACATCTGCAGCCAGGGGAGGGGACCGGGCTCAGGTCTGGAGATGGCTGCACCATCGAGCAGCTTTGGAACGGCGCGTCTCCACTGCAATGCGCCTTGCTCCCCATCTATTACCTGGCCCCACAGGTGGGCACCCACAGCTGTAAGGTTGATTGAGCTGTTCCTTGAAATATCTGGGGCTTCGCTGAAAGCGCAGGTACATCTGTGCCTCTGCAGGAGCTTGTGCTTCTGAGGCTCTGTGGGGACATGGGCCTGGCTGCCCCATTTCCCACCCCGGTCCTGCTGGGAAGCATCCTCTTGCTCTACCACCGCCTCCTCTGGGCTTGTGGTGCAACGCTGCTGGGGGGAGCAAACCAGCCCCATCTGATGGATGGAGGTAACCCCCAAGGCTGTAGGGACATGGCTGGGGCTGCGTTGCCCCCATTGAGTGATGGAAGCTGCTGTCTTCTCCTCATCTGCCTTCAGACGCCTCTGGGCTGGCTGGCCTCCAGCAGAAAGGGGTTTTGTTGAAAAATAACAGGGAGGTTTTGAAGCAGGGGCTTTTGGGAGGAGTATCCACATGCAATTTGTCTGTTTTCTTCTTGTAAAACCAAAGACATTTCAGTTTTCAGAAACTGATAATTAAACGTAAAAAAATATTTCCCTTACCAGAAGCCATGGCCTGACTGCTTTGGTCAGCCAGGTAAAACCTCCCCCGGGCTGCCCGCGCCGGCTGGGGCTCAGCTCATGAAACCAGCCCTGGCGGGGGTTTCCCGTGGGTGAGGACACCCTTTTTCTCTTCATTTCTGCCCAGCTCTGCAGAGCATGAAAATCAGCATCATCGGGCATCCTCCCCAGCACCCTCTTCTTCCTCTGCTCTCTGCAACGAGGGCTGCTGGCACCCTGGTTGTCCCTGGGAGGCCCCAGCTGCCGGGCTGAACGTGTTAACTTTGGCTTTTTACCACCACCCCTTTCTCCCCGCCATCACTCCAGATGCCTGCGCATCTTGTTTACCCAGCAAAATGTGCCGGTGTAGAAAATCAACGGGGGCACTGTCACGTGGGCCACGGTAAACAGCCAGCAGATGCATTATGTTGATTTTGTTCCAGAGCCTTTCCAGAAGGCACCGTCCTGCTGACGGGCTGCGCATGGGCACCACATCCCCCTGCCCACCCTGCCCAAGAAGCATCCTCGGGTGCCATTCGGCACCCCGGTGAGCCCGTCCTGCTCTCCTGCGCCCCATCCCCCAGGGACCCAGGTGGCTTTGTTTCCCCCAGGTGCACCCTTTGGGCATTTCCAGTGTTTTATTTGACCTTGTGGTGCTGGCCACTGATTGCAGCAACTCAGTACCTTCTGTGGCACGTTGAATAATTACGGTGTGGGGAGAAACATTAAAATAGCACCTGGGGTACCGAGCATGGCAAAAATAGCCACGCCAGCCGTGGATGGAGCGGCCGCTGCAGGTACGTGATGAGGCACGGCAGAGCTGCACTCAAGGGGAGGCTCCCTGTAAATGGCTTTTTGTTTGGAACCCAGGGAAAAAGAGTGCAGGAATTTGTGCATGTGAAGCACCCCTAAAAGGCTGAAGGTGGGGAGCAGGTGGGCTCGGCTTGGCTGATTTTAGTTCTGATGGTGCCCCACTAGGAGCACAGAGACCCTCCCACAGGAGCTGTACGGAAAAGCTTTTCCAGAAATTTTTCCCACTGCTTTCAGGGCCGTGTCAGGACCACGGGGAATTTGGGAGAAGGCACGTGGCCAGCACTCTGCGGTGCCTGCACAGCCTGGCAGCAGGGGATGTCGTTCCAGGATTACAGATGTTGGGTGCCTATCCTTGGGCTCTTGATAAGGTATTACCATTGCTAAAGTTTTGCATACTCCTGGCTCATCCTTTGTTGGACTTGTTAAAGCCTTGGAAAATATTTTCATGAATTAAGAAGCCCCATTAAATCTTGAATCTAATTAGGAGAGACTTGGCGGTGGAGTTCTTCAAATAGTTAAGTCAATATTGCACAGTGTAATTGTAGTAATTCCCCAGCGGTGCCGCAGCTGACGGCCTGTGTTATTGTGTAGGTAACTCCGCGCAGAGGGGGAAATCTCCCCCACCGCAGAATGTCACTTATTTAAATGGTTCCCATCTGAGTCCTTGAATGATCAAAGGATATCGGTTCCTGGCAGGGCCAGCAGAAATTACAGCACATCTCAGGGACCCTGCAAGCAACCACGGCAGCGGCATCCCGACACGCGGCACAGGAACAATGCTGACCTTGTGAGCGGGCTGCCTGAGCTCTGCTGCTCTCCAGCCTTGCCACAGGAGTGCCCAGAGGGCTTTGGCGAGGGGGCTCAGCCTCTCCCCAGCAGGTTTCCTCCCTGCGGAAACGGGGATGACGACGAGGAGCAGTTGTCTGCCCTGCCTGCTGGGGCAAGAGCTGCCCGGGGTGCTCCCAGCCCAGTTGGCCTTACAGAAGGCAACTCCCGGGGATCCCCTAGGGAAAAACTGGGAATAAACCAGTGAGGGTGGGAGCTGCAGATGCAACTCCTCGGCCGCAGCTCCCCTGTCCCCTTCCCTCTGACCCACTGCCTCCCACAGCTTCCTTGTGCACCTCGGCGCATCCACCTGCCTCGTCAAGGGCAGGCCTTGTTAAATCCTGGCCATAATTGTGGCCGCGATCTGCCGTGTGCCCTCCTTCTTCTTATTATTATTATAATGCCTCTCTTCTGTAGGGCAGCGACAGTTTCTGTCTCACAGGAGAGCAAGTTCCTCAATTAAAGAGAAAAAAAAAAAAGCCACCGCATTTATTGGGAAACAGCGGTGCAATTGGGAGAGTTCATTATATTGGATTAATTATGATCATTATCAGGAGAAGGGAGATAATTACCCTGTTTGTTGTCAAGAGTAAGGTAAGGGGGGGTATTTTTTGATTTATTTTTTTTTTATTTTCCAACACGCAGATCAGACCGGCAAGGCGATGCCGCTGGCAAAATGCCTTCACCCAGTGCCCGCGTGGCTGTGCCGGGAGAAGCAGCGGGGATGTGCTCGGCACCGCTGGCCTCACCGCGACCAGCGCGAGATGGAGGTGGCTGAGGCTGCGGCTGCTGCTGGCCAGGCTTGGCTGGCCTCCTGCCTCCAGGCAGGGAGCAATGGCTCCTCCAGCCATGGCTTCTAATGCAAATAAAAATCTAATTTCAAAATTAAATGTAAAATAAATATTACTTAAATATTAAAGAGAATAAGTCGTTTTTTTAAATGGTCGATGTGTTTCTCGGGAACCCGAGCAGACGTGTTTAAATAAGACACTGCTTAAATTTTTTCAATTTTTATCATCTTAGGTATTTTAAAAAACGTCTCTTATAAGGGAATAGTATACACCTTACTGCCTCTTTTCCTATTCTCTTAAGAGAGATTAATTTTAATGGGCAGCCCCAGGACAGTGGCATGGGAGGCTGCCCTTGTGAAAGGAGGGAAAGGGAGACGGAGGCTGCAGAGCATTCCAAGCCCTGCCGACCAGAAGGGGAAATTGCCCCTTGGAATGAGCAGCAGCGAGAGCCCTGGCTGTGCATCTGCCTTCTGCCACCCTCAGTTCCAAGGTGCCAGACTCGCTCGGAGAGTGCTAACATCCGTGCTGTGCTGCCGTGTGGGGTCGAGGCCCAGTGGGGGCTGCATTTGTTGGCACGGGGACACCCTCCTTACAGCTGCGTTCCTCCTCCCGTGGCGTTCACTGTGGAAAACACATCCGTGCGTCCTGTGCTTGGTGGCCAGCAGGAAAAAGTGATGCCAAGGCTGAGCACAGAACGCCCCGAACCACCCCAAATTAGCGGCAAGGGGGGAGCTCAGCGCACAGGGTCTCAGGAGCAACGCAGTTGGCCGTGGCCAGTACCCACCCGGCCAAATTTCCTCTCCCGTGACCCCAGAGGAACAAAAAGCTCTGTGGCATCATCTGGCTGTTTCAGACAACACCCAGGGGATACGCCGCTGCTTTTGGGCCCCACTGGCCACACGTCGAGGGAGCTGGGGCACAGCACGGAGCCGGCCCGCAGGCTGCAGGCGGGAAGGTGCCACCACGGAGGCGCGCCGGGACCGCCGGCCCCTGGCAGCCGCTGCCGTCGGGGGGACCCCCGGGGGCAGGCGGGGTGTTCCCCCACCCCCGGCCCTCCGGAATGGGGGACAGCAGGCGACAGGGGGCGCCCCGCCACCGCTTTTAGCTCGCGGGACAGCGGAACGGGCCCTTCCCGGCGGGGGCCCCGCCGCTCGCCCCCCCTTTTGGGGGCAAAGCCCCCTTTTCCTGGCGCGTCCCCGCATGTCCCCGCCCTGGGGGCAGCCCCATCGGGTCGCACCTTTCGTTTTCAGCCGCCCCCCAGATCCCCGAAGGCGGGCAGGCGGCGGGAGGAGGAGGGCTGCCCCTATCGCCGCGGCTATCGCGATAGGAAGGTGCCCTCCCGGGGCCGTTTTCGTTTGGAGCTGGCTCCGGAGGGTGTCGGGACACGGGGAAAAGTCCCCCGGGCCCCTCTTTAGGTGCCCCCGCTGGCTGTCGGGTCTGTGTTAATGTTTAAAAACTAGCGCCGGCTTCCGCCGGTCGATGCTTGGTTTTAATCCCGGGAGCAAAACTTAAACAAATAAATAAAGGGAAAGGTCGGCGCTGCCCGTTTTGCTTTGCAGGCAGGTAGGTATGGCTGGGGGACGTGAGAGCGAGCCCACGGCGGGCCCGCATCCCCGGGGGCAGGAAGGAGGCGGCGGCAGCCCCCTGCCCTCGGGGCGGGCAGAGCCGCGCTCGGAGGGGCAGCCGCAGGATGCCGCCGGGGGAGGCAGCGCCCCGCGGCTGGGAGGCGTTTGGCCAGCAGACGGTGGAGGGGAGCGCTCCGCTTCCTCTGCCTGGGAGGGAGGGCAGGAGAGAAGGAGGGAGGGAGGGCAGGACGGAGGGAGGGAGTCGCTCCGCCGCTCCCCGACGGCCGCATTCAGGCAGCCTCCGCCGGCGGGAGCGAGCGCGCCCGGCAGCGCGGCGATGGAGGGGCCGGGGGGCTTCCGAGGGGGCTGATTCCGCCCGTGAGGCCGGGGGGGCCGTCCGTCTGTCCGGCCGGGCTGCGGGGCGCTTCGGCTCCGCCCCGACGGCGCCCACCGGGACCCTGCAAGCGGCGCCGCGGGGACGGCGGCGAGGTCCCCGGCGGCCCCGACGGCTCCGGTCGCACTCCGCCGCCCGCCGCGCCCCCTCGGCCGCCCTCGCTGTTTGTTTTAGTTACGAAATTGCTGTAGGAACTCGGGCAGAGCCGCGGGAGGGGCCCCGCGGCCGAGCCGGAGCCGCAGCCGGAGCCGGAGCCGAGCGGCGGCTCCCGGAGCCCGGACCGATGGGGCAGCGCCGGGGCGCGGCCGGGCGGGTGGCGGCCTGAGCCCGCTCTCCGCCGAGCAGCCGCGGGGAGAGAAGGTGCGTGCGGCCGGGGGGCGGCTGCCCCCACCGGGGGGGGGGCCGGGGAACCCGCGCCCGTCGGGGCTGCGGGGCGTGGGGGGAGCGGCGGCCGTCGGGGGCGAGGGGCGGGGGGCGTCGGGGCCCCTGGGGAAGGGGGGGGTCGGCTCCGGCACAGCCCCCACCCCACCCCCGGGGAAGGGAGGCGGGGGGCTCAGGGAGCGGGGCCGGGGGTGCCGCCGGGGTGCGGAAGGTGCGCGGGGGGCCGCGGAGGAGCCGCTCCCGCCTAGGTGTGAGCTGATTATTCAAATGGGCAGCCGAGGACCTGGGGATTGGAGGCTCGCCCGGCCGCTCCGTGCTATATCACTCGAGCACCCACGTCACTGCAGCACTTGTCCTCCTCTTCCTCCTCCTCCTCTTCTTCCTCCCTCCTCCCTCCTCCTCCTCCTCCTCCGGCTCCTCCGTCGCCTCCGGGCGACTCTTCGCCGCCAAGCGCTGCGAAAACCCACCCAAGGAGCAAGCCGCGAAAATACCCCCGGCCCCAGCGCCGCTCCGTGCCCCCCCCCTTCCTCCCTCCCTCCTCTTCCTCCTCCTCCGGAGGCTCCGACGGAGGGAGCGCGGCGGGGAGGGCTGGCGACTTTTTTTTTTTTTTTTTTTTTTTTTTTTTTTTTTTGGGGTGGGGGGGGTGGGGGGGTTTGCTCTCCGTCGTCGTTTGTTGTGGCTGTTAAATTTTAAACTGCCATGCACTCCACTTCCAGTATGCTGGGAGCGGTGAAAATGGAAGGCCATGAGCACACGGACTGGAGCAACTACTACGGGGAGCCCGAGGTAAGGAGGGAGCCGAGGCTCCGCCGCCCCCCCGACCCGGCCCGGCCGCCCCCCTCCCCCGGGGGCACCCCGATTTTGTCACTAAATGTGGGGCAGGGCGGGGGGCGGCGGGGCCGGCCCCCCCCGGGGCCGAGCGGGGTGCGCGGCTGCCCGGGCGGCGTTTCGCGATTTTTCCTCCTCCCCCTCCCCTGCCCCCCCAGGTATTTTTCTCACTTCGTGCAGGGATGTCCCTTCCCCTCCCTCCAGCTCCCCGGCATGGGCCGGGCGGGCTCGCTGTGGCCACGTCTTTTTTAATATCTGTATTTTTGGTTTTCATTTTCAACAGCCCCCCCCTCACGCCCACCCTCCCGAGATTTAACCCTTTCCAGCCCTCTCCAGGGCTGCAGAGGCTCCCTGGCAGGCAGCGACCCGGGTTGGGGTGGGGGTGCCCCCGCACTGCTCCCCGTTTGGGGGGCTGCCCTCGTTCCTGGTGGGGCTGCGCACCCACCCCCTCCTGTCCCCCCCCCCCAAACCTCCCTCCTCTCTCTTGCTTGCCTCCACAGAGCTACTCCTCAGTGAGCAACATGAACGCAGGGCTGGGCATGAACAGCATGAACACGTACATGACCATGTCGGCCATGAGCACCACAGCCAACATGACGGCTGCCACCTCCATGAACATGTCCTATGCCAACACGGGCATGAGCCCTTCACTCACTGGCATGTCCCCGGGTGCGGGGGCCATGCCCGGCATGGGTTCGGCCGGCGTGGCGGGGATGGGTGCCCACCTGAGCCCCAGCATGAGCCCGATGGGGGGCCAAGCAGGCTCCATGAACGCCCTGGCCCCCTACACCAACATGAACTCCATGAGCCCCATCTACGGGCAGTCCAACCTCAACCGCTCACGGGACCCCAAGACCTACCGGCGGAGCTACACGCACGCCAAGCCACCCTACTCCTACATCTCCCTCATCACCATGGCCATCCAGCAATCACCCAACAAGATGCTGACGCTGAGCGAGATCTACCAGTGGATCATGGACCTCTTCCCCTTCTACCGCCAGAACCAGCAGCGCTGGCAGAACAGCATCCGCCACTCGCTCTCCTTCAACGACTGCTTCCTCAAGGTGCCCCGCTCCCCGGACAAGCCGGGCAAAGGCTCCTTCTGGACTCTGCACCCTGATTCGGGCAACATGTTTGAGAACGGCTGCTACCTGCGCCGCCAGAAGCGCTTCAAGTGCGAGAAACAGCTGGCCGCCAAGGACAGCGGTGGGGCGGCTGGCGGGGCAGGTGGCGGGGGCAAGAAGGGGCCCGGGCAGCCACCGAGCCAGACCCTGGGGGAAGGCAGCTCCTCGGGTGGCTCCGAGGGCTCAGCTGGCGCCGAATCCCCCGCCAGCGCCTCGCCGTGCCAGGACCACAAGCGCGCCCTGGCTGACCTGAAGGGCACGGCGGGGCTGAGCCCTGGGGAGCCGGCGGCATCGCCAGCGCAGCACCTCCTGGCCCCCCCGCACGCTGGCCTGCCCCACGACGCCCACCTCAAGCCCGAGCACCACTACGCCTTCAACCACCCCTTCTCCATCAACAACCTGATGTCCTCCTCCGAGCAGCAGCACCACCACCCGCACCACCACCACCACCACCACCACAAAATGGACCTCAAGGCCTATGAGCAGGTGATGCACTACTCAGGCTACGCCTCGCCCATGCCCGGCAGCCTGGCCATGGGGCCCGTAACGAACAAAAATGGCTTAGAGTCCTCCCCTTTAGCCGGAGAGACTTCTTACTACCAAGGTGTGTATTCCCGGCCCATCATGAACTCCTCCTAAAGGGCCGAGGGGAAAGCTCCCCTGGTGAGGGGGGAAAGACCCCACACCCCCGCGCAGTCCCCTAGCAGAGCGATGGACTATGAACGCTGTTGAGCACGGTACATATACATATATCTATCTATCTATTTTTATTTTGTTTCCTTGGCTCCAGATGTTTGCATCCATTCGGGAAACAGCAGGCATGTCTCGCAAGCACCTCAGCCTGCGCTGAGGGCAGGCACGCTGGTCCTCCCCCCCCAGCCCAAAACCACCCATGCCTGGGGGGCTGCGATTCCCGTGTTTTGCCTTGTGGGGTGGTTTGTTTCAGTGGGGAGGGGCGGGTTGGGGGTGCGGGGAGGGGAGAGGGGGGTTTCTGTTGGGGCTGTTTTTTTTTTTCGTTGTTGTCGTTGCAAGGAGGTATAAATATATCTATTTTTTTTTTGTGTGGAAGTGACGGAAAAAAAAATACCAAGCAGACAAACAACAAAACGAAACCCTCCTTCAGTGTGAAACCCACGCTAGTTTTGAATTCAAGGACCAAAAGTCTTGTAACGTTGTAAAAAGGGGGGAAAAAGGGGAGGGAAAAAAAAATGAAAAAAAAAAAAAAAGAAAAACATTAAAAAAAAAAGTCAGGATAGATCGTTGTAATTGAAACAAACGCTTGATGTTACCGGGAGAGTAAACTACTTGGATCTGATTAATTTATCGTTTCTGTATGCTTTATTTATGGCTTATAAATGTGTATTCTGGTAGCGACTAGCCAGATTTTCACAGAACTATATTAAAGTGTTATTGGCGGTTTTTTTTTCCCGTGCATCTCTGTTCCACCGGGACTCGCCCGTCTCCCCAAGCCGCCACGGAGCCGCGGCCCGACGGGGCCCCCTGTGCCCGGCCGAGCGACCCCGACGGCGCGGCGCTGCCGCCCGCTTCCTCTCTTCCCCGGCGCGCTCGGAGGGGCTCGGCCGACGCGGGGACAGCCCGGGGGGGGCGAGGGGGTAAGCGGGGAAAGCAGCGGGGCACGGCACGGCACGGGACGGCACGGCACGGGACACTAATGGCAACCACCGGGGGTACCCGGCCGGCGCTCGGTGCGCCCTCGGGGGGCAAAACCGACAGCGGGGTGTGCGAAATGGCAAAGTGATGGTAACCGGGGGGACGGGGCGAGAAAGGGGTTGCAGGGGCGGAAAGCGGGGAAGCGGCGGAACGAGCGGAGCGGCGCCGGGGAGGGGGTGGCTCGGCTTCGGGGAGCGCGGCCGTGCAGCGGGGAGCTCCCCCCGTTACCCCCCAGCGCCCCCGGCCGCCCGGAGCCTTCCCGGACCCTCGGCCGGTGGCACCCGTCGGGGGCCGTTTTCCTTTATTTCCCCGCTCCCTGCCCGTTTTCCCAACCACTTGTTGTTTTTCCCACGCGTTTACGGCGCTCCTAGATGTTGCTTTCCGAAATAACATTCAAATCCTTCTTAAAATTCCGCATTGTCCGCGGGAAGAGAAAAGGGGACGAGGAGTCGGGGGGGATGAAGGGGGGGGGGGGAAGGGTAAAAAAAAAAAAAAAAAAAAAAAAAGCCTCCCCAAAACAAAACAGGGATCCAGCCAGAAATCTGTCCGTCTCTATACGGGAAGGACACACACGTTGTGAAGCAGGCATGCAATGTGTTTCATTAGCACATAAAAGGCTCCCGCGGGGAAGGAGCACGGGCGCGGGGGTGACGCCGCTTTGGGGACGCGGCGCTGCCGCTGCCGCCCGGCCCCAAAGCGGGCACCGAACCGGGCACCCGCAGCCCGCCCCAGAAGCACGCCCTTTCCTTGGGTTCGCTTTGGGTTGCTTTGCTTTGGTGTCGTGTCTGTTGTTTTGTTTTGTTTTGGTGTCTTTTTTTTTTTTTTTTTTGGTGGTGTTTTTCAAACTCTCATCCTTTTTAATTTTTTTTTGGTTTTCCTTTTTAAATTTCCCTTCCTCCGGCCTGGTGCACGCTGAAACGCAAGGATGGGAGGCTCGAGGGAGAGGAGGCAAAAGGAAAAAACGGGCCCGGCTATACATTATTTCTTTTTCTTCACACACCCTTGCTCTTTTTCTCCCCCCTTTCCCGCCCCCACGAGTCCGCACGACTCGCCCGCCCCCAGTCTTCCTGCAAGTGCATTCTGCTCCTGCCGGTTTAAGCAACCGTGATCTGTGAATAAACAAAGTCAGTAAACAAAAAAAAAAAAAAAAAAAAAAAAAAAAAAAGGGGGGGGGGGGAAATCTAGATCCAAATTCCAGGAGGGTAAACTTTCAACACCACGTCATACTTCAGCAAATTTACACAGATATTATATTGCGTCCCTTTCCTTCCCCCCCTCTCCTTTTGAGCCATTGTGCTTAACTGAATTTTATAAAGCTGATCGATATCTTGGTAAAATATTCATTTTTAAACTAGCGGGCAGCGAAATCTTTGCTTTGTGCTAAAGTCAACAGTAGCACAGTTTCAGCTCAAATAAATGCAGGGATGCTTCCAGCTCCCGCAGAGCCGGGCGCGGCGCAGCGGCTCGTCCTGCGGCCGGGGCGCAGGTAGGTGACAGCCGCCGCTCTTTCTCCTTCTCCTCCTTCCCCTGCGCCCCGGCTCCGCTCCGTTTCCCTACCTCCCTGCGCCTCCCGAGGCCGCCGGGCGAGCGGGGCCGGGGCCGGGGCCGCTGGCGGTGCGCGGGGTCCCGGCCCCGAGCTCAGGAGCGGGGCAAGGCCGGGGCGGGGAGGGGGGGCTCAGCGGGGCCGGGGGGCCCGGGGCGCTGGGGCTCCGTCGGGGGAGGATGGAGGGGGCCGGGGATGCTCCGGACGAGGCTCCCAGCGCCTCGCCGCTCTCCCTGCCGCGCTTTCGTATTTTCTCTCTCTCTCTTTTTTTTTTTTTCTTGCCCCCCCCCCATCTTTTTTTTTTTTTTTTTTTTTTTTTTTTTTTTTGCTCGTTTTTCCGTTGTCCTCCCCGGCCCCGTGGCACTCCTTTGTTCCCCGCAGCCGGACATTTCGCCCGTGGCCGTGGCACGGGGAAGCGCCGCTGCCGGTGCCGCAGCGACACCGGGGGGGCTCCCCCTTCCCTGCCCACCCACAGCCCCTCGGTGTGGACGCAGGGGGAAAGGGGAACGGGCGTTCAAGCGGGGCCGGCGGCCCTGCCCTGCGTGCCCCGCTGGCACGGACACGGACACGGGTGGCATTGCCCACGCGGGGGCTCGGGGAGGGGACCTTGTGCCGGGAGCGGTGTGTCCGCGGTGTGTGCGCTCCCGTGTCCCGCAGCTGCACGGCGGCTGATAGGCTCTCAATAATTCATAGCAGCGCGGCCGGCTCATAATGCCGCGCCAATTACTTGTCATTAACCGTGTCCCCACGCGGGGAGGGCGCCGCGCGTGGGGAGGGCCCGGCCGGGCCCCGGCACAGCCCCGCACACCCGGCCCGCGGCGGCTCCCGGCGCCCCGGTACCGGCTCTGGGGCTCGCCCCCGCCCTGGTGCCGCCGCCTTCGGCTACTTTTTATTTTTGTAGCTTTGATTTGATGATTTCATTTTTTTTTTTTTAATTTTTATTTTTTTTGCCCGTTGCTGCCCCCGAGCATCCCCGTCTGGCGTTTCTCCCGGCTGACAGCCCCTCGGCAGGGGCACAGCGTTAGAGCTCGCTCCCGTGCATCATTCCCCTCGCACCGATTTTAGGATTATCACCATCAGCATCCTCATTACTCGGGGAGAGCGGGCGGCGGCCGGCCACGCTTGGCGGGGGGACGGAGAGCCCCGGGAGGAGGAGGAATAGCGGAGGTGAACTTCCCCGGGCACGGTCTGCGCCGGGGAGGGAGCTCCGGGGGGGCTGCGGGTCCCGCCGCCGCCCGAACCGGAGCGCTGGGCTCGCCCCGTGCCCGCGGGCGGGGGAAGCCGGGCGAGTTTGGCCGCCCAGAGCCGCGACCCCAGGCCAAAAAGCAGCCCCCAGCCGGCCGGCCGCGCTGGTTAAGGCATTTATTTTTTCCTGACTTCCCCTGCGGTGGCGGGGGAAGGCACTTCTTTAATTGTTCGGGCCCCTAATGACATGCAGAGATGGCTCAAAAGACAGCGGACATCAAAGCACAAAGAAGATGATGGCACATCCAGGCTAGGGCAGGGCAGCCACGCTTCCAGCCGGGGAAGGACGACGGCGGCTGCCCAAAATCCCAGCGCTTCTCCTCCCGCCGGGGAAGCGGCTCGGGCACACCGGGCTGTGGTCCCAAAGCCGCCGGCAGGATTGTATGCAAAACGCGTTTATTGACCGTCCTAAAAAAAAAAAAACGGACAACTCGGGGGTGAGATGAGTCTAATTATTGCTGGTTCTAAAAAGAGCTGGAACACCCAAGTAGGGCTTAACTCGTCTCCTGGGAAACTGATGGAGACCTATTTTACAAGCTGTAATTCTGCTTTAGACTATTGCAGGCTAAAGGCAGTTCACACTATCCTCTTTCTTCTAGAAATAGTCCTAATCCTATATTTCGGCCGGGTAAAGTCCGCTTCTGCTCCGCACTAGATTAATCCAGAAACCACATAAAACCAGGTAGGGAAGAGGATGGAAAAGGGGAGGAGAAAAATCTTTCAAAGTTTGTTACCTCTGCCCTGACTAACCTTCAAAAGAGTAAATATTAAAGGATGATGCAGAGTCTACCGGCTCCTTATTTACGGGACAGCTTCGCCGCCAATAGAGCTAAAAACGGGGCTTTGGGGCTGGCGGCTGTCAGGAGGAGAGCATTTTGGTTTTATTTTTTGCTCTCTCGCTGTGGTCGTTTTTCAGGTCGGGCTCCCTCGGCGGCGAGAGAAATATTTTTCCTCTCTTCTCCCGACGGAGCCGGGGGGAGGAGGGGATCCGGGGAGGGCTCGATGAATTTGTTAGTTATTTATTTTTACTGGGGGACGAAAACAACGAGGACGACAAGGGAACAGCTTGGGCTGTGCCGAGTCCGAGCGCAGATTTTTGCGCAGCGGTGATTTTTGTCCCAGCTGCAATTCGGGGCGCTCCTTGCCCCGGGGGCCGCACGCCCCCAGCCCCAATTTGCTGCTGGAGCGCCTGGCAGTGGGCTCAGAGGCGGCTGTGCCGAGGGGAGGGCGAGGGACAGAGGGTGGCAAGCCGCAGCCCCCCCGGGGAGCCGAGGCTCAGCCCCTAACACGGAGGGGAGGTTTCTGCCCGCCGTGGGGGGGAGACCCCCGCGTCCTGCCCTTGCGGCCCCGGGGCTTCAGGGGCACGGCGCTGCGGAACCCCTGCTCTAGGGGACCGGGAGGAAAGGCCGGGGCGTTTGGGGGAGTGGAGTTGGGGGGGGGGAGACAGAGTCCAGAGGGGCACAAAAGGCGCCCCGAAGTGCCGGGGCAGAAGAGTGCGCATCGGGTCCGCTCCGCCCGTGGGGAGGGAAAGAACCGCACCGAGCGTGGGGCGCGGGTTTGGGAGCTCTGGGCGAAGGGATGGGGAGAGGCGGAGGGGCGAAAGGAGGGAGGGAGGGGTGTGGAGAAGGCTGGCAGGACGGACAGACGGACGGATGGACAGGGGCTCGTTCAGCGGCCCCGGCGGGGCAAACGAAAGCGGCTCCCGGAGAGGTCGGAGGGACCGGGGGGGGGCAGCCCGCCGGGCCGCTATGTTTGCAGGTGCAGCCGAGCGTGAAATTGAATGTAAAAAAAAAATAATAATAAAAGGAAAAATAATAACAATAAAAAAAAAAATAAAAGAAGTTTTTAAAAACGCAAATGAGTCGGGGACGGCCGGGCAGACGGGTCCCGCAGCGCCCGAGCCCGGCTCGTCGCTTGCCCACGCGTGACCGTGGGGCTGTGCCACGGGGCGGGGGAGCGGGCA